ACCATCCAACTAAAAAGCAAACAAAGCTGGCATGAAAGAATTGACAAAGTTGGCGTTTCACGCAAGAATAATGAACAAAGCAACCGAAAATGGAAAAGAAGTCGAGCAAAATGGAAAAGCAAAATGGAAGCAAAAAGAAATCGTATGTAAATTAACCAGAATAAGAAGGGCATTTGTCATATGCTGGCAGAGAATCGAGAGAAGAACACTCTCTTAGAACTGTTGTCATATTTGTTGCCAATCAGTTGTCCGTCCAATTTCGAGCAAGTCTTGCAGTGAGGAAGACGAAGACCTCTTTGATCTCTCCAGCAGGATTCGTCGCTGCACACAATCTTCCGAGCGAGTCCAGCAATGAGGCAGTCGCCGAAGACCTCCACTCGACAAAAGGAACCCAAAAGTTCCTTTGAAATAAACCTTATTCGATTTCCCCCAATTTATTTGTTTAAGAATTAAGGTGAGTCAGCAGCCATGTAGGCCCAGTTGCGGGCTGATCTGGAAGTTCTGTTCCCCTTTCTCCATCCTGTTAGTGGGTTTAACGGAAAATAATAACGGCCACCAATTATTTGATTTTTCTGTTAACCGATGCCCTAATGGTAGTTTTGTGTAGGGATGGCAACAAAATCCAAGCCCACGGGTAACCTACCCAACCCAACTCAGTCAACGCGGGTAAAGCCCGTGTTGACGGGTTTTGAGCCGGGTTCGGGTTTAAAGTTGTTCACTATTCACCAGGTTGGGTTGGATTTGGGTTTAGGTATACCCGCCCCATGGATACCCGCCCACACCCATATGATTAATTTTTCTGGTATATTTTATATACTAAGCAACTAATCTTCTTTATGTTTGTGGAGACATGTATAATTTTTTCTTTCTAATAGTGTAGAATGAAGTTGATATAATTGAGTGGAGAGTGAAGAAGCTTAATTGACTAGGAGGAAGAATCTTTCAATTAATCATGTTGTTTATGGATAATTTGTGATTTGCTTCAATTTTCTTGAGTTTTCTAGATTAGTATTTGACTCGCACGAAACTACACCGCGAATTAATCCCGACTAGAGCCCAAGTTTTTAAGCATTAGCCGGGTGGAATATAGGGCAAGTATATAATTGTCAAACCCGGGCCGGTCAATGTACCCCTACTTCAATCGCTTAAGTTGTTATCTAGCAAAATAGTTTTGGGTTTAAAACTAAGAAAACTACAAACTAAACAAGTGATGAAAGTAAATGGAGGAGAATTCTACTTGAGGGGACTTCACCTAGGTATTGCTCCCCTTAGTCTCATGCTAAGAAGCGACAATCAAAGCTCTAGTGTGAAGGAAGTGTTCATACACCGTGAGGTGGGTGCTACTAGCTAGGGACAAACTCCCGTAGTCGATCAATGAAGGAAAATCAACAAATATAAGCTAGGAGAACTAGCTCTCGTAACCGTTAGGTTAAGGATTGTGATTCATAGTTAGGGAATCTAGCCCTCTTAACCGATCAACCAAGGAGATCCGTAACTCTCTAAGTTAGTTAATTGAGAACCGTTGCAACAAGTTAGAAAGCTGACTCACTTAACCTTTCAGCTAAGGGTGACAACGATAGGCTAGGAAACCTAACCCTCTCGACTAGCCGACTAAGGATTGCAAACCAAACCCTCAGAACTTAATCCGGTCGGCGGAGAGACCAATCCCGGTGGAATCATGGACCTACACCGATACTTGAAATTTTGGTCTTAAATTGACCTAAAGGAGGTTACCCAAGTGGGTAAGAAGTCTAGCTTCCTATTGGACCAAATCGGGATTTCCAACCTCTAGGTCATTTTTACCCAATATTGAGTTAAAGCTAGCATACTCAATCATTCATGAATAATACATCAAATATCATATAAAACACTCAATCAAAACAATAGGTTCATGTTCCTACATCCTAACACATAGAGAGACTAGGATTCACAATACCCAAGGGAGTAGGTAGGCTATTACATAGCTAGACAAGAGAAAACAACAAAAGGGGAAGAAAGAACAATAAAGTGATGCCAATCTTTCCTCCTTGTTGCTTGAGACACCCTTGAGATGAAGAAATCTTCAATCATCTAGCTAGGAACCAGCCCAAAGCTCCTTCTTCCTCCTTTGATTTGCACTTTCTCACTCTAGAAGAAACTCTAACCTCTCACTAGAATCCTCTTTATTCTGAAAAATGAAAACCTAACCTAAAAAGGAAGCTCTCTTTCATCTTCCTTTTAGCTATCCCTTTATACTAAGAACGAGCTGAGTTCAAGGCCGTGAACACCTAAACGCATCCGTGAACTCCGGAGTGTTGTGTCGAAACGCACCGCTTCACTCACTTAAGTTCACGGTTTGCACTCAAAGTTCACGGTCTTGGTGACCGTGAACTTACTCGGCGCCAGTAACCTCTGAAACCGCACTGGACGCTTCGCGGTTCACGACCTTAGATACCGTGAACTCCAATACTAGGCCATGAACTGCAACTAATTTTTGGACGCCTGCGCTTCACTGTTACTGGGCAACTGTCACGGACTTTTCTTTGGTTGTTGCGCTTTTTCACCTCCAATCGTCCTGAACTCGTCCTCGACCCTTCCACACATGCTAGGACCTTAAATGTATCAAAACAAACACAACCTAGCGTGAAATATGTCGAGGAACGATGAAATGCAAAGTCAAACTTTCAAGAAATGAGGGGCAAAATGTGTATAATTGGACTCGAATCAGTATTGTACAATTTGGTTGGTCAATTTGTGATTTGCTTGAATTTTCTAGAATGGTGTTTTATATATGGATCATTTGTATTGGCAGATTGATATTTGACTTTTATTTTGATAGGAACTTTTTATTGTACATTTTTTCGACAAAAACCCATGGGTACTGATAGACCATTAATTGCACATGTTTATACCACCATTCTTAAGTCGTTTGAGAGTCGATTCTCGTGTTTTAAGCCGATTTCACGCTAGGTTGTGCGTTTATGTCATATTTCGGGACTTGACGTTAACGTGGAGGCGAGGAAACGAGTTTCGGGCAAAAAAGGAGGAAGTTTGAGTGAAGGGCTATGGAGAACAAAAATACCCAGTCGGCACTTGAGATACCCGACCGGGTAAAGACGTTTTGGACGCCAAAATCCCAGAATGGGTCCCGACCGTGGAGCTAAAATACCAGATCGGGTATTCTGGACCTCGATCGGGTATTATCCCTTATTCCACTGCGCATCATTTTGAAATACCCGACGGGGTATTATGGCCAGGGATCGTGTTCTGTTTCCTTTTGAGGGAAAGAAGACCAATTTTTGAAGGGTTCCGAGTTTTAGAGAAAGAAAGCAGATACCTAGAGAGAGTGTGTGTGACGAACCAGAGTCTCCAAGCGCCCAAGATCGATCTTCATCACCATTGGAGCTCGGCTTAAGCTTGGAGAAGTGTCGATTGATTACCAGAAGTAGAATCTCATCCTTCACAACATAATTTCTGCATCTGAGCTAGATTTCCCTTCTCTCTCACTCACCTGGGTATGAAGAACCCTAGATTTGTATGTTAGGTCTGATTGTATGAACCCAAGTACGAATTCATTGATATTGATTATATTCAATTGAGGTTTGATTTTCTGAATTGCATGAATCCTAATCAAATTCCTGTTATTCCTACTTTGACCTAGAAAGAGAATATCTGTCTAGGTTGATAGAGCAGCCTTGATTGAAGGTAGTGAATTGACGACTTTAGTCGAGGAGTCAATTAACTATTCTGTACTGGATTTACTCTAGTAGAGGAGGTTTGGTACGTTAGGGCCTCAATCTGTTTACTTCGGTGGAGGTTAGTCGCCTGCTGGGGACTCAGATTGAGAGGGTCTGAAGACCTTTAGTCGAGACTGCAGACTGTCTAAGAACCTCCCGCAGTATAACTATCATTGAACTTGAACTTGGCGAATTACAACTTGGCTTAACTGTAGTCTAGGGGGACCATATCTGGGTGACCTCTCTCAACTTTGAACACAACTTTCACTGCTCTTGCTTGCTAGTTTAGTTAGACCTTCACTACACTTGAACTGCTAAATAATAAGATTTTCACGGAGTAGTCATCACACATAGGACCTGGGTTGACATTTAAATCTAAACTCGCTATACTACGCATTGGTAGGTGGTTATACTTGGCCACTTTCTAGTGTGACAGTACAGGCGTGTCAGGTACCAATGAACCCGTGGATACGTAGCGAGTTGGATTGAGTTTGATTTTTCCAAACCCAATGAATTTTACCCCGAGTTTTTTTCAGAGATAAAACTAGGGATGGACAATGGGCAGGTAACCCACTAGACCCACCCGAACCCACCCGATTATAACCCACCCATTATATGTTTGGGTGGATATGGTGGGTGGGTGTGAGTCATCGTTTTTGCCACGCACTAAACTTGGGTGGGTGGGTACCGGGTGGGTCATTTCCTGCAAAATAACATGATATATTAAGTCGTTAATGCATATTCTATAATAAAACACTATTCTTTCTTATACCAAAACTTCAATCGTGATTGATTCAATTAAATTTCAATTATCTTGTATAAATTTTGCTTGATTTACAAGATAAAAATCAATCATTTTAAAAATGATAACTATCAACAAAATATTTTGTGTTCTCATATGACATAATTGGTGTTAGATTATCCAGTAAAGTATGTTTAATAGCTCTCAATTTTATTGATTCGTAGTATTTATATTCAATTAGTTTAATGCAAACTTTTATGGCTCATAATTATCTAATTATTTAAAAATAATTTGATCCGCCAAACCCACCCACATCCGCCATCATCCACCCAACCCACCCACAACTATACAAATGGGTAGGTGTGGGTCATTTTTTCATCACCCACCGGCCACCATAACAATGAGTAAGTGGATTTTGCCCAAAAACCGACCCAACCCAACCCATCCATTATCCATCCCTAAATAAAATCATAGATTTGTGTTTGAATTTGGCAAAATCCGTCCCAACCCATTACCATCCTAGTTTAGTGGTACCCTTGCCTGAAAGTTTAATGGCAGTGCAACTGTGCAAGTATTTCACCCGAACAGAATACGGAGGAAAGCGATCCCGGTTATAAAATTTGGTTTTAATTTTCCCCCAAAATTTCTTCTTTTCCGGTTCCACCATGATTAGATGGCCATAGGGTCTCTGCTGCTTCAACAACACCATCACCAATTCGCATTCCTCCGCCATACCTGCGGCGTCTCCCCTCTTCCCGTCTCCGTGTCCTCCTTTGCCAATTCTTCCGCCGCCGCCTCGCGGCCCTCGTCCTCTTGCCTCCTCCCGATTGCCTTCCTGCGCCGATTGGCATCTTCTGCCTCCTCCACATCCGCCGCCGCCGCTGCCTCTGCCTCATCTGCTGCTGCTTCCGTCTTCTCTCCTCATAAGCCCAAACTTAACCACCATCTGCATCAACAACGACCGAAGCGGAAACCGCAATCCCAGCCGCCGCCTTCCCCTCCGCCGCTGCCCTACCACCGGTTAAGGTCCTTAGCACCCACACCCGACACGCTGGCTCAGAAGATCGGGAAATCTATTCGGCGCCCCGGCGCGCCTTCTAAGGCTAGGGTTTATGCCGATGTTAACGTTATCCGGCCTAAGGAGTACTGGGACTATGAGACGCTTACCGTTCTGTGGGGGTAAATTGACTTGCTTCCTTCATTGCCCATTTTAATATACTTTTTTTGTTTGTTAAAGTTGTTTTAATTTTAGGTTTCATATGTGGTTGGATGCCGAGATTGAAAGCATGAATTATTTGCATGTTAACCTCAGTAAGGGTTGTAGTCTATCTATCTGGTCGCTATTTGCCAGAAACTTGGATTATGATGGAAAAATCTGTGGTTCCTATTAACATCTCCGTGCATCCTTTGGCTTCATTCAGCTTCATTTGGTATATGATTTCGTGATTGTTGTTCGAAGTTTGGTCCATAATTTATGGGTTTGTCAGTGTGCTGATTCTCGCACTGCTGAATTGTAGCTTTGCTTCAGGTGACTCTATAGCTAGTTGGTGCTGCCATAGTATTCCGAATTTAAGGTTGCGGTCCTTCTGATGCATGAGTAGTTAACCGAAGTGAGATAGTTTTTGTGTATTGCATTGTTCCTGTTTCTCCATCCTCTTCTTATCCCCTGATTTTGGGACCCTACAATGACACTTTCTTTTCTTGTGGGCTGGTTATTATATGTTTAGCATGTAAAGCAGTTGTGGAATATTTTTGTGTTTGATTGGGGTGAGAAGTTATCTCTTGGTGACTACAGGGAACAAGATGATTATGAGGTGGTGAGGAAGGTTGGCAGAGGAAAATACAGTGAGGTTTTTGAAGGTGTTCATTGCACTGATAATGAGAAATGTATCATTAAGATACTTAAGCCTGTTAAGAAGAAGAAGGTGAGTCCTGGATATAGCTTATGATTTTACATGGTGGTGGCCATGCCATTTGCTGTTTGATCACTGTACATATTTTTTTTATGTTAAGCTCAGTGGTTACTCAATATTGTATTGCATTTGAATTCAGGAGTTTCTATCTTCTTTCAAAACTTCACCTTTTCGAGTCATGTCTGGTTTTGTTAGTAGTACCTTCAAGATCCCCCCCGGCCATTTTTCTCATTTTCTGGGAGAGGGTATGTCTTTGGTCGATACTTGAAGCTTTTGATAGGGTAGTCTATCAGTTAAAAAGACGCCTACGAATTACGCTTAAGTGATATCTTGTTTGAAAGGTGTCCTGCTTGATAGTATAGCCATTTTGCATGCTGCTGCTGCTTCAGAACTTAAGAATCATTGATTTTTCTTTAACAAAGTTTACCGGATTACACTTGTGAATGCTTACTTAGGTTTGTGATTGTTGCAGATTAAGAGGGAGATTAAAATACTGCAGAATCTTTGTGGGGGCCCTAACATAGTGAAGTTGCTTGATATTGTTAGAGATCAGCAATCAAAGACACCAAGTCTTATATTTGAATATGTGAATAACACTGATTTTAAAGTACTTTATCCAACACTTCAGGACTATGACATTCGATACTACATCTACGAACTTTTAAAGGTGATGACTCTTCTATATTCTTTTAGTGAATTCAAATGTATGTTGAGTCCATATATCAGGTTCTCAAGGTATGAAAAGTCTTAAACGATGTTCATCGTAGCCATCATGATGCTATTTGTGCAATTGGTGATGCTAAACGTGAAGCACTTTTCCGTGAACTTGTCTCATCCATGCCCTGTCTATTGACTAGTATGATCAACCTTAACCCCCTGCAGGCGCTCGATTATTGCCATTCACAAGGTATTATGCATCGTGATGTCAAGCCCCACAATGTAATGATTGATCATGAGCAGAAGAAACTCCGTCTCATAGATTGGGGCCTTGCAGAGTTCTATCATCCTGGGAAAGAATACAATGTTCGTGTGGCTTCAAGGTTGGTTCCTTCTAGTAGATTAAACATGTCTTCTATTGGTCAGTGCGCTTTATGGATGCGTTTATTCAAATAAAAGCTTGATGCTTTATACATCGTAGGGGCGAGCTTGTACACTATTGAGAACTATAATGATCTAGTTTGCGTTCTTTAGTGTAAAGGGTTCAATATTCAATCATCTTTAGTTGCTACGAGTGACATACTCCTGTTCTATTTTTCTTCTGCAGGTACTTCAAAGGCCCTGAGCTTCTTGTTGATTTGCAAGACTATGACTACTCGTTGGATTTGTGGAGTCTTGGTTGCATGTTTGCTGGAATGGTCAGTGTTCGATGATTACATTTTGTGCTTACACTCGAGTTCATTTACCATAAGCATGGCTTGGGTGATGTTTGCTGGTTCTTTGTCTGCATTTGTTGCTTATTTTTTTACTTTGTTATTTTGCAGATATTCCGCAAGGAGCCATTCTTTTATGGTCATGATAATTATGATCAATTGGTCAAGATAGCAAAGGTAAGACTAACAGCAATGCAATGAAAGGCTAGCTTCAAGATAAAAGCAAATTGATGAGTAAAAGCGGAAGCGTAAAAGCTTAACCTTTTACGAATCCTGTAAATTAGTTTGAAAATTTTTAACTATTGCTTGTATTTCGCAAAATACAAACAAATAAATTAATAATATCATATTTAAAAGATCACTCACACACACACACTAAATAATAGGCTCTTAAACTAGAGTAAATCTAACTGAAGTCCCAACAAGAAGTTCTTAGTCATGTAAGACAAGTCACACATCCATTGAAATCATGTCTGACAAGCGAGCTTAAACTCCAAACTCTGATATCAACTTCAGTAAATTTCAAAATCATGAAAATGAAACTACGTCAGTGCATTGACATCAATAGTTGCATCCAAGTCATCATCATCTTCATCGCCATCACTGTCACCACCACCATAGCCATGATCACTATCATCTCTTGCACCATCACCAACACTAGTAGTATCCTCACCATATTTACTTCCATCATCAAATCCAACCACATGATCAGTTTCTACGTTTGTAACATCTAAATCTCCAGCTTGTGTTTTCCTTGGTGGGCATATACTCAGTTGAGCTGAATTCCTGAGAGAAGCTGAATGGTGTGTTATGGAAATATCAGTGGATAAGTGAATTGTTGACAGCTCATAATAAGTTCCTTATTTAAGGTCTTTTCCTCGTGCAACAGATCTTGGGAACAGATGAATTGAATGCATATTTGAGCAAGTACCGCATAGATATTGATCCACATCTTTCTGCCCTTGTTGGGAGGTCAGCTCGTCTTACATAGACCTGTTTCAATTTACTATTTTTCACCTCCTAGTTTTATGCCGTGTTTGACTTTTGTTGTACAGGCATGGACGGAAACCATGGACGAAATTCATCAACCCTGAGAACCAGCATTTGGCAGTTCCTGAGGTAGGAAATTGTTTGCTGAGTAGAGTGGTTGCTCCTCTCTGAGCCACTCTTGAGAACTAACATCAAAATTGTTTCTGTTTCCTTGGAAGGCAATCGACTTTGTGGACAAATTGTTGCGATACGACCACCAAGAGAGACCAACTGCGAAAGAAGCTATGGTAAACCCTTCTACCGATCAATTATATTGTCCACTCAATCAGGTTCTTTGGCCTTAGTCGTTGTGTTTGGAAGGAATAGTAAACCATATGCTTCGAAGATTTTCCAGGCTAGATATATTTTTTTTCCCGGTAATTCAGGCTAGATATTCAACAATGCTATTTTGTTGGCTGTGTCTGTTTTGGCTTTCGGTTAAAGAAGATGATGGCTTTAAATAAGTAGAATTAGAAGTTGGCAAAAAGTGTGTTGGCATATCTCTCTACTTATTTTGTAGGCGAAACAAACACCGCATTGTCTGGCTATTTCTAAATCGAAGTGCGCATGCTTGCATGCATCGTTGACCGAAAACTTTTGTAAAATGTGGCTTTGTGATGCAGGCACATCCGTATTTCTACCCAATTCGAAATGCGGAAAGCAGTAGAGGTCGATCTTAGGCTTCGTCGAAGTTTCCTCTTTAGCAGACTATGCTGTCGACAAAATTTGGCCTGCAGCTTGAACTCTTTACGAAGGGAAGTCATGAATGTAATTTGATCTTTTTGTCTTTTCGTGACAATATGTTTTGTTTTCATTGTTTGTGGCATTGAGGTTTTACCCTTCTTTCGCCAGTTGTAAACGCTTTCATAATCCCCTATTAATTCTTAGTATTCAACGTTCTGTTTTGTTTGACTGACAATTCCCATTCCCATTTCTCCTCTCTCGTTTCTTTAATTTGCAACGAGTGTTTTTGTTTTTTTATGGAAACCTGTAATCTTATTGATCAAACCACTACTGTTACATCATCAAGCTTCGATTGATCAATCAAGCCATACCATCCTCTCATTCGAAAAGGTAAATGTCTTGGCCATCAAATGATACCGACTGATTAACACCCCCTATTCCACGTGAAGCTATACGGATATCGACCGATTACCACCCCTATTCCACACGAAGCTAATGGTGCTGACCGGATACCGAGTAGCCAGTATTTTGTATACCGGCAATTGAAATTATGCCACCGAATACCGATATCGAAAGTTATCCGGTATACCAATACGGGATTGTCGATTACTGGTATCTTAACCGGTCTACCGGATACAGAAAGTTTATCCATAACATGGGAAAAGTTGTTGATTTGAAAGTTAAAACCTTTAGCGATCTATGCTAAATAATATCATAACAGACATAGATCATAGATAAAACTGCAGTGAGAGCAAGTGGTCCAATAATCCTTCTACCAAAGAGGAAAAGTAACTTTAAAGGAAACCGAAAAACAATATCCAAACATTTGCTCATAGCTACCAGCGCACCCAATCAGCAACTGCGATTACATCTGACCTCCCAGAAAATCATGGCATCCTGATTGACCCCTTTCTTCCCAGCTTTAGTAAATAGAGACGCCAAATCCGACGAACTGTTCAAGAACAACCTCCCCGAGATCCGATGGTGTATATGCTATTTCAGTATTCTGGTATACCGGATTGCCATCGGTATATTACCGGGTATTATCCGGTATACTGTTATACCAAATCACGCGATTGAATACCGATACCGCCGATATCCGGTAATACCGAATACCGGTTTACCGATTACCACTCATAGCGGGAAATGTGTCGCCAACAAGCCTCAGCTGTTCGTTCCAAACATCGTCTAATAATGCAACAGATCACCCCCATCTCTGTCTGATCCACATGTGAACAGTTTAACTTGCCTATGATCTGCATACTATCACTTTCAAGGGCAGTTTTGTGGTATGAAGTAGTGGTATTGGTATAATCTGTGCTCCTATTTCGGCAGCCTGGGCCTCCCACCTGTCATATGTTTTGCAGCGGCCAGATGTAACTTCCCATTATTATCCCGCGCAACCACGCCCACAGCCCGATTCCACCATCCGGGAAAGTAGCCTCATCCGACGTGATTGAGATCCACCTTGGTTCTTTGAGATGATGAGCTTTGTAGTCCGATTGGAAGAAATCCGCCCTCGCTACAATGGTGTCTTCAAGTTAGTCAAATTATACACAAATCTTTCATGTTGCTAATCTTTTATCTTTTATGAATTAGTTGTGGATTTATATCATAAAAAGGTTAAATTATTTGGTCACTCAAATTATACACAAATCTTTCATGTTAGTCTGAATTACTTTTCTTTCTTATTCGGCACTCGTTTCACTGTTAATCACTGGTCGTGACACTCTGTAGTCAACCATAAAATTTTACTGTTAACAACATTATGTGGAAATTAAAAAATAAATTTATTTTTCCACCTCATCATTCCACTTTTTACCATATTAATTATTTAATACAGATTTATCATAGTGATTATTTTTCCACCGCCAACGCAGACAAGACCAAGGCGACCTCCACGCTGTTCCAGCCCCGTCTTCGGGTCTTCTCGGCCGGCGAACCCAACACCGCCAGGTTCCTGCACGTGCGAACCCAGCGCCAACTTCGAAAATTATTACAACAATGATTGATGAGAAGCTGGAAGCCGCGCACAACGAGATTGATGAGAATGATGCCCAGATTAAGACCAAGGATAAGGAGATTAGCAGCCGACCAGTGAGTTAATTATATATTGTATCCTTTAGCAGGTCCTTCCACCGCCTCACACCTCCTTCGGCCACCGCAGTCTTCCCCGAGCGACGACCACAAGATCCTCCGCCTCACCCTCCCTCGCCTTCGCCACAGCCTTGAACAAATAATCTCCCAATCCGCCTGTAACAGCCTGGGTCCAGCTGGCAAGAGGCGTGCTATATTGGCAAATGTATAAATAGGGAGAGTTCACGTGTATTGCTCATCTTTTTGCCCAATTGTCAAACTATAGCTACTTTACTAAATTTCAGTTAGATAGATATCAATAAACAGCTCTTCTTCGTCTCCATTCTTTCCCAAATTTCCCTTCTTCTCTTCTTCTCGCCAGATTCCCACCTTCGATCCTTGCAAAGTGGTATCAGAGCTTCAATCTGGCAATGGCTTCTCACACCTCTCGCATTGTTGATTTGGAGACACAGATGGCGTCTGTTCAGCTTCAATTGGAGTCCCAACACCAGGACTTGAAGACCGCCATTGCGGAGCTTGCTGCGTCCACCAAGGATAATCTCGATGCGTTGGCGGCGTCCTTCGCTCGCAGTCGTGAGAAATCTCCAGTTCGTTCGCCGCCGCAGTCGCAAGCTCCCTTCGCCGAGGCACATCATTTTCGTTCTCCACAGCGGCGACCGTCGTTGTTGGATCACTATCCTCGCTTAGAGTTCTCCTACTTCTCCGGTTCCGATCCTCACGTTTGGGTGAGCAAGTGTCATAAGCTCTTTCTCCTCTACTCGATTCCTGAAGAGCAGAAAGTGGATTTGGTCTCGTACTATTTGGAAGGGCGGGCTTATACGTGGTTTGAGGGCTGGTCCTTCCGTCGCTTTCCGTTGATTTGGGGCCATTTCGTTGAGGAGCTCCTTCACCGGTTTGGGAATCGTGATCAGTTGAATGTGGTGGCGGCATTCAACAAGCTCAGGCAGACGTCCACGGTTGCTCGTTATCAGGAGGAGTTTGAAGATCTTCGTTCTCGTCTTCTCCGGTTGAATCCTGAACTCAATGAGCATTATTTCATCTTGAGCTTTCTGGGAGGGCTCGACGAAGAAATTCAACCTCGTGTTCAGCTACTTAATCCACCGACTTTGGCGTGTGCGTTTTATCAAGCGCGCCTGGAGGAGTCCGCCATTGACGCTCGCCGGAAGAAAACGCGTTCTGCTCCTCCCAGTCGGTGGTCTACTTCTTCCCCTTCGGCAGCGACTTCTTCTTCTCAGCGTGAACAGCCTCTTCCTTCCCCGTCCACTGGTGACCGAAATTCTATTCCTCGGGGGCAGGGCCTCTGCTATAAGTGCGGTGATAAGTACTTCCATGGCCACGTTTGCGCCAGGAAGAAACAGCTCCAAGTGATGCAAGCTGAGGAGCAATGTCAGGAGGTGGACGATGGTGACGACGAGTTTCAAGATGCTGAATTGGAAGTTACTTTACAGTCTATGGGGTCGGGCTTTGCTGGGAACTCTCTGCTTATCCCTGCTACTTCGGGTCGTCGTGAGGTAACAGTTCTTATCGATACAGGAAGCTCCCACACTTTTCTCAATTCTCTTAGAGCTCAGGAGTTGAACTGTAAATCAGATAGTATAGCACCAATGAGGGTGAAGGTTGCAAGTGGCCATACGTTGTTGAGTGATTCGGTGTGCAGGGGATTCAGTTGGAAGATGCAAGGGGAGGAGTTTGCTTTTGATGTTAGAACGCTTGATCTCCCTGCTCATGATTTGGTTTTAGGGTGGGACTGGCTTGAAACCATTAGTCCATTTCAAGTTGATTTGAAGAAGAGGCAATTGGCTTTTGAATGGAAGGGCAGGACTCTTACATTGCAGGGTCTCACAAAGGAAGACCAGTGTAAGATGATTTCAGGGCGCAATTTGCAGCAGCTTCTAAAAAGCCCCATGACTCAGCTGACAGGAGCTGTGTTCTCCCTGGAGACAGTTTCTTCTACCACCATTACACCTCCTTTCCTGGAACCTGTTTTAGCCAAATTTCCAGATGTTTTTGCCACTCCCACATCCCTACCTCCTGCTCGTTCTTTTGACCACACAATACCTTTACTTCCCAACACCAAACCCATCAATATAAGACCCTACAGATTCCCTCACCATCACAAAGCTGTTGCTGAAAGGTTGGTTGAGGAAATGCTCCAATCTGAATTCATTCAAGAGAGCCACAGTCCTCATGCTTCACCCGTTTTGTTGATTGGTAAAAAAGATGGTACTTGGCGGTTTTGAGTGGATTACAGGGAGCTTAATGCCAGTACAATCAAGGATAAGTTTCTTTTTTTGATGGGCAATATCAAAAAATTTTATTAAGCTCAATGTGCTCCTTTTACAACAAGGGAAGCACATCTGGACCATTACAACCAGCAGCTATACTGCTGCTAATTACTACTCAATACTACACAGCCATACAATAAACCAAACTATACTACTAACTGTTCTGCTAGCTAAAAATCATACTGCAATCTACATCAAGGATAAGTTTCCCATCCCTCACATTGAGGACTTGTTGGATGAATTACACGGGGCAGTTTTGTTTTCGAAGCTGGATCTTCGGGCGGGCTACCATCAGATTCGCATGCACCCTGCAGATCAGTTTAAGACAGCTTTCCGTACTCACCAAGGGCATTACGAGTTCAGGGTCATGCCCTTTGGGTTGACAAATGCCCCGGCAACATTTCAGGCTTTAATGAACCATGTCTTTGGTAAGTACTTGAGGAAGTTTATCCTTGTGTTCTTTGATGACATACTGGTGTACAGCAAGTCAGAGGCAGACCATGTGCAGCACCTTACTATTGCTCTACAAATCCTTCGGGATCATCAGCTGTTCGCCAAAGCTTCAAAGTGCTCTTTTGGGCAGCAGTCTGTGGAATATCTCGGCTATATTATTAGCAGGGATGGCGTCTCTACTGATCAAGGGAAGGTGGCTGCTATGACTTCTTGGCCTCGGCCTACCACAGTTAAAGGGTTGCGTGGTTTCTTGGGGTTGACAGGGTATTACCGGAAATTCATTAAGAATTATGGTATCATAAGTCGGCCTCTTACTGATCTCCTTAAGAAGAGCGGGTTTCATTGGTCTTCCGAGGCTGAGGAAGCCTTCCATTCTTTGAAATCAGCCATGAGTCAGGCTCCAGTCTTGGGATTGCCTGATTTCACACAGCCCTTCATTTTGGAAACAGATGCTTGCGGTACG